TTTCTTTCCATCTTTACTTTCCTTTCTATCTACTCTATTCTTCTTTGTTACTTATTTCTAAGATTTTTTCTTAGTGTTTTCCTAATTTGCAGCAACTTATAAAAGTATTTGTATTTTCTGTGGTGAAAAGATTTCTAACCAGCCAAAGTTGATGCTTGTACGTGTATAGGGGAGGAAAAAAAAGTAACTATGAATACAAAAATATTCTAACAGCTTGTAAACTAATAGAATAGACAGTTATACTACAACTTTGTTTACCACTGATTTCTACTGTAAACATTTCTCTTCCAAGGTATAGTTCTGCAATGTGTTTTATACTTAGTATGATTTTTAAACTACCATTAAGGGGAGCAGGAAAAATACATTTTCATGAGTTAGCTCTTTTTTTTTTTGGTACCAGAGATTGAACTCGGGTCCTTGTGCTTGCGAGGCAGGTGGCAGAACCACTGAGCTAAATCCGTGGACCTTTCATGAGTTAAGAATTGCCAAGTATCATTAAAACCATATCCCTACATATTAAGTACCAACTAAGGATTGAAGCTTTAAATGTCACCTTGCTCCTCAAGGTAGGCATCATTGTAGGGACTTGCCAGAGCTCCAGCCAAATCACCATAGAAGTTTACCAAAATGTACCTCCCTAGTCAAATAATCTGATTTTTTAAAGATGTAACCAAAAAATCAAGAAAGAGAAAGAAGGATGAGAAAGAGAGAGTCTAGACACCAAGAGACTTCAGAGACATGTTGAGTGTAGTAAGGGTAGAAGCATGGTCATTAGAGATGCCAGTGCCTCAGTGAGGGTTTCTCAGAATAGACAGGCTTGAATGGCGTGGCTGGCAAACTGAAAACTAGGAGTAGAAAACTTTGGGGAGGATGTAATTGGTAACTTTGACAAAGTGAGCATAAAATAACTTTTGTACAATGACCCTGGACATCTCTGAGGTGAACTATCTGTGCAGTCATTTCTCCCAGAGAAGACATGTCTTTGGGAGAAAGCCCTTGCATTTGAGACTACACACAGTAACACTAAGTATCAAACAGTGGAAACTGACTCAGGTCTTCAAGCCTACCACGTCACGTTTCAGGGAGTCTGGGCCTCACACCTTATATCCAGAGCAAACTACCAGCCAAAAAGCAATACAGAAAGGCAAGGGGCACACATTCAGGACACAGACTACAACCTCGGACTCCTGGGCATTTCCCAGTCATTCATTATGTAGCAAAGTGTAGGGAATGACAGAAACCCAGATAAGAATATCCGTCAGAAAATGCCAAAGGGGCAGAAAAAATGTATTCACATTCCGGGATGCTGCACTCAGCTACCACCTTTCTTCTCCTTGAAGAACAAATGTGCTTGTCATTTTTGACACCACACTAATCGATCTGCCTTATATAGCTCCACATGCTTTTCTGTTTCCCTTTCTTTTATTTTCATTGTACCAAATTGATGACATTATCTTAAATTCAGCACAAGTACTTCTCCTCTCCTTTTGGGTGCTCAGGGGCTCCCACGGCTTCCACTATCACCCACAAGCTAGCAGATCCTTACCCCAATTCCAGCTTCTTACACATCACCTTCACTTTCTGCTATCAGTACTTGAATATTACTCCCAGCCTGGACAAAACACACCCAAATTCACCTTCTACCTTCTTTGTTTTATTTTTTTATGGCGTGCCACTGTGCTCCTCAAACTCCTGGATTTTTTTTTCTCTCATGGAGTTCATTGGTACATTTTAGGTATACAGTACAATTACATTCATAATGGGGATCTTGTACCTTTACATGACAGGTCTTGGTACTCATTTTTTCCCCTTGTCCCTCCCCTCCCTTCACCCCCCCTTCCCTCCCCATTTACAAACACTTTATTTCCATTTTTTCATTTTCTTATATATTTTTCCCTTATTTCCTTTTATGTTCTATGAGCTAGTATGTGGTCTATTTTGAAGAATGACCCTTGTGCAGCCGAAAAGAATGTACATTCTGATTTTGTGGGGTGGAGCACTCTGTAGACGTCTGTCTGTTAAGTCCATTTGTTCAAAAGCTTGGTTCAGGTCTAGTATTTCGTTGTTGATTCTTTGTCTCGATGATCTATTTGTGATAGTGGGGTATTCAGGTCCCCCACTACAATTGTACAACCATCCTCAGTGGAGGAAAGATAGCCTCTTTAATGAATTGTATTGGAAGTACTGAATTTCAACCTGCCAAAGTTTAAAACTAGACCCTCATCTTTCACCACGCACTAAACTAAAATCCAGGTGGAATAAAGATCTATTTAAAAAAATCCCCTGGATTTTTACACTGTGACATCCTTTTCTACTCACTCACGCCCTTGTTTCATGAAACACATCATGGAGTTTCTCCCTGCCTGTCATCCCAGCAGTGCTCTCCCTGTACCCGTGAGTAGGGCTCCTTGGCTGAATCCTGCCCCGCAGAAGCAGCTGCCACTTCCTGCCTCCCACACTGGTTGCTTCTCTCGCAGCCCCCCCAGGCTGGCTTTCCCGCAATTAATTGTCTCCCAACTTTTGCTTGGTCATTCCTCTGTTAGAAAAAAAAAGCTCTTTTTTCTTTACCACATTAAAGTTATATATGGATTTTCTTTTTTAAAATCTTATTGAATTTATTGGTACTTTTAAAGTATACGGTACAGTCACATTCATCATTGGGATCTTGTACCATTACACATGCATCTTGGTTTTTCTTTTTTCCCCATATCCCTACCCTCCCTTCACCCCCTCCACCCTTCCCTATTTACAAGACTTTGTTTCCATTTTTTCCTTTCATCATAATTTTTCTTGTCCCTTATTTCCTTTACCCTACCCTTGCCCACTTGCCCTACATCTTTAGCGATTTTCTTCCTATTTCACTTTATCAGTTATACAATTTTGATCTTATTTGCACTTTTAGTTTTTACATCAGAGAAACTACTTGGTACTTACACATGTGTGTCTTATTTATTTCATTTAAGAGTATGGCCTCAATATGCATCCATTTTCCTATGAATGACTCTAGTTTCTCATTCTTTATGGCCGAATAGTATTCCATTTTATAGAAAGACCACTTCTTCTTTATCCAGTCTCCAGCAGATGGGCAAGTTTGAGCTATTACAAGCTATGCCACTATGAACATGGGTGAGCATATGTCACCGTGGTATGATTCTTTTAATTCTTTTGGAAAGATTCCCAGCAGAGGGATGGCTGGGTCAAATGGAACCTCTAGTCCCAGCTCTTTGAGGTATCTCCATATTGACTTCTATAGTGGTTGCACCAGTCTGCTCTCCCACCAACAGTGGTGAAGGGTTCCTTTCTCCCCACATACCCGACAGCATTTGTTATTGTTTGATTTCTTGATAGCAGCCATTCTTTGTGGGGTGAGGTAGAATCTCAGTGTTGCTTTCATCAGCATCTCTCGAATGACCAGTGATGTGGAACATTTTTTCATAGATTTATTTGCTGCTTTTATTTCTTTGAGAAATGTCTGTTCATTTCAATGCCCATTTTTTAATTGGATCGTTATATTTGGGGGGGCCTGATTATTTTGAGTTCTTTATATATTCTAGATAATAGTCCTTTGTCTGAGGAGAAAAATTTCTCCCCACATTGTAAGTTGTCTCTTAGCTCTGTTGGTGGTTTCTTTTGCAGTGCAAAAGCTTTTTAATAAGATGAGATTCCAGTTATTGATTCTTTGTGCTAGTTCCTGTGCTACTGAGGATTTGTTCATAAAGTCTTTTCCTGTGTCAATGTCTTCAAGAGTTCTGCCTAACTTATCTTCCAGCAAGTTTAGAATATCTGTTTTAATATTTAGATCTTTAATCCACCTGGATTTTAGTTTAGTGCATGGTGAAAGATGAGGGTCTAGTTTTAATCTTTGGCAGGTTGAAATTCAGTATTTCCAATACAATTCATTAAAGAGGCTATCTTTCCTCCACTGAGGATGGTTGTACAATTGTAGTGGGGGACCTAAATACCCCACTATCACAAATAGACAGATCATCGAGACAAAGAATCAACAACGAAATACTAGAACTGAACCAAGCTTTTGAACAAATGAATTTAGACAGATGTCTATAGAGTGCTCCACCCCACAAAATCAGAATGTACATTCTTTTCGGCTGCACAAGGGTCATTCTTCAAAATAGACCACGTACTAGCTCATGTTTAAATACATGCAAAGGAATCAAAGTTATCCCATGTATATTATGAGACCACAGTGCAATTTATCTGTAGATCAATAGCATAAGAAACCGTAAGAACTCCACAAACACATGGAAATTGAACAACACTCTCCTGAACAATCAATGGGTCACAGAGGAAATTAAAGAAGAAACTAGACAGTTTTTACAAATAAACGATAATGCCAGAACAACATGCAGGAATCTATGGGACAATGTGTGTGGACTTTCAAGGCTTTCTATAATGTGCCCCTATTTATCAAGCTTCTACTTTTACTGTTTCTCCATAGCATGATCTGTTCCCATTGCTTTTTCTCCTTCTTCAGCATTCCCTCCTCTGCATTTGTCCTTCCAAATCTTAACCCACTTCAAGGCTCTGTCCAAATCTCAATCCCTACCACCCTTTCATGACTACATGTCACTCCCTTAATCTGTACCTCTTAAATAATTTAGTACTTAATGAAATACTCTCCATTCATGTGTTCATTTTCTTTCTCTAACTACATGACAAGCGCCATATAAATGAAAATATAATTCTTTACCACCTTACCATATATCCCAGGGCAAAAAATGAATTAATTTTCAGAA